ATTTTTTTAAAATGCGGTTTCAGTCTAGTATTACTTCCTGTACGCAGATTGCTGATCGTCTAAGAGTAGATTTTCTAATAAATACCCATTCAGCTGTTCAAAAATTATCTTTTTGTTTAATTTGAAAAAAAGGAAGTTTAAAACAGGACGATACAAAGCAAAATCTTAAGGTTCTAAATTTGTTTTTTTTTTAAAGATATGGTCTAACTATTGCTTGTAGGAAAAACATGCAATTCTAGATGTTCATTGATAAAATTTGCAAAAAAAGTACCTCGGGATAATGTTTCAGTTTTTCAGTTTTTAGTGGATCAAGAGGTGATGTTGCAATCGAAACAGAATCAAAACCTTCCGATTTAGTTTTCTCGTTCACCAAATCAAATTTTTCTAGAATATGTTGTTGGAAATTTGATACATTTGGTTCAACATATTTTAACACAGGGGGGGGGGGGGGGGGGTAGTTCAGACTTTCTTCTTTTTTTAATTTAAAAAAAATCAGACAAAGCTTCTCCGACACTTTAGGTGGCTTGACGACCATTTTGTTATTCGGGCAGTTTTTTTCAGTTCTCTTTGAAATTTAAAGTCACGTGTGGAGATCGATATCATGATTTGATTATCACAAACAGGTTCCACTCTGTTGCATGCTTATTTAATGCTCATTTAAATTCAGTTCTTGCAAGTTAACAATTGAAGAAAGATGTTCTTACCTGCACTGATAAGAGAAAACAGAAATAAAAGTATGAAAATGCTAATTCTCATGGCGAAAAACACGAAATAGGATGAAATTGCTAAACTCTGTAAAGCGGTTTCAAACAAGCTGCACAAACGGGTTAATACGAACAAACTTGATGCTTAAATTGGACTGAATTCGATTCAGATTTTACAAAATGTTTTATAAAAGTGTTCGCCGGAAAACATGAAGAGTGGAATTTGGAGAAAAGCGTTTCCTCTCGAAGTTGTACTTCGAAACTTTACTGGTTTTCTAATCTTGATTTTAAATAATTGAAAGTTTGGCTCTTTTTCCTTTTCCCCCCCACCTCACTCAAACATGAATTTTATGGTCTAACGAGTGGTTTTACAAGGTTGATTATGAAGACTATATATGCTTGTTATGGCCTAATTAGTCTGCATGTAAATTTTCACGACAATCGGACAAAATGAACAGTATTTTCAAATATAAAAATTTGCAGGTGGGGGGGAAAAGGAAAAAGAGCCGAAAATTTTTCTTTGTTGTTTTTGGCAAAAATTAAACTTGTAATAATATTATCATATTAAAAAATTATCTGCCGTTGAAAAATGTCGAAATCTGGCAAACCTCTAAAATATAAAACCGTGGCATACAGGGGCGGATCTAGGATTTTCTCAACGGGGCGGATTTTCAAAAAAATGTTGGAAAATTTTGAAAAAACAGTCCAAAAAAGGCACTTTTTAGAAAACTTTCACCAAAAAATCGCGCGCTAACCCCCCCCCCCCCCCTCAAAATTAGTATATATTGGCATCCAAGGCGCCTTATAAAAATATTTAGGGTCCGTCGCCAAAAATTTATTTTGGTTGATTGTTCTAGAAAAAAATTGCACTAGTGCTTCATTTTCAGGCTCTTTTCCAGTTCCCCCCCTTTCAAATTCAATTTTGAAAAGTCGTTTTAACGTTGTCATAATGCATTGAAATTTTGCGTGGTGAACAAATCGACAATTATGAACATATTTGTTCTTCATACTTTACAGCGTAACATCACGCATTTAGCCGTAATAACACGTAAAACAAACATAAAACTCGGTATTTTGAAAGGGGGGACTGGAAAAGAGCCCATTTTCATATTTGAAAAACTAATCCAATATTTGAATCAGTAATGCATTATTTAAATATTGCGCTAAATTTCAATATTTTTTAGATAAAAACTTGGGTCTGGAATAAAAACTTGGGTCTGTAATTTAGGCAGCAAAGAATAGTTAACGAATGCGTCAAGAGTCAATCAGGAAAATTTGAATTTTTTGATTGAAGCAGCTGGGTTAGAATCATATTTAGAATAATTTCTTCAATTAATGGTTTTTAGATTAATTATTTTGCCTCAGCTCAGTAAAGAAAGATTTAATGAGCAGATTATGTAGCTTCTTTTGCACTGTGTTCACGACGAAATGAGCATTAGTTATAGAGCAAAAAGACCAAAAGTGACAAACAGTCTTGTACAAAAAGGGAAACAAGAAAAATTCCATTACCATTATTTTGAATAGCAAGTTTTTTTTGTATAAAATTTTTTTCAACCATACAATTTTAATTATAGAAAACAAAACCTCAAGCTTGACTATATGTCATCTACTGCAAAACTCAGAGCACGAACTGTTGTTTTCTTTACCATTGAGTCGAAACAAAATCAGAAAAACTTATTAACCAATTATAGTAGATAGAGAAATTCGGATATAAGTTTTGGGGAAAATGGTAAGTTTGAAAAAAATTTTAGTGTATTTGCTTGCCGCGATTTTTTTCTTGCAAAAAGTTTGATTATTTCAATGACAGAGATGTATAAAGTTTATATTTCTTTTTTTTCGAATATCTTTTGTAATATATTTTTCTCTAAAACTTACCGTGATACGAACACTCCAGTTTTTTATTCTAACCCCTATTTTGTTAATTTTGTCGACAGTTATTTTACTTACAGTTTTTTTTTTACATCACTTGCTATTTTTTGATATCCTTACTTCATAAAATCAAAACAAGTTTTTGGTTTTTCTAATGCAATAGGGATTGTTCACAAACTTCAGATTTGGTTTTTGATTATTTCAAATTTTTTTACACCGTGTATTTTATTCGACTCGAAAACCATATAAAGAATAGCGCGCTATGGATTGAATTAGAGTTTGATAGAGGCTTCATTTAAAATGTTTTTGCTTTATTTTTGAAATTTCTACTAATGAAAGTGTTTTATTGAAGCAAGTCGGACTTTTATTTTGAGTTGTCCCATAACACTACTCTGTATTTTAGGCCAAACTTACAAAAATCATGATTTTGGCTAATATAATTGATATATCAATACAAATTAAATGAAAAGATTATTCAGAAGCAGTTAATTCGGCTTTGGATTACAATATAGTGCCAAAATTCAGCATAAAAGTGAGAATTTAGTCAGTTTTAGAGCTTTTTCAATTTAAGTATTTACAGTTTGAAAAAACAAAAAAATTTCTGGGCAGTGATAACAAAATGGCATTTTTCAAAAAAATATTTAAAAAAATTCCAAAGTAAACTTTTCTCAAAACGGAAAAAAAAATTTTATTCCCCAACTTCGAAACTTCAAACTCCAGTGACACACAGTTTGATTCCTTCAGAAGAGCAGAAGAATACAAGATTGAAAACGCAAATCAAACTTTCACCTATTTGTAGTTTATTCTAAGCTCGAAGCTTTCTTGATTTCTCCATTTTGAAATAAAAACTGTGTTGAGCTGAAATGCATAGTTTTTGCATTTCAAAATTAATTTAAAATAATAGTCGGATTTCTTGTCTCAATAAGATAAAAACATTGTTTTTAATCAGCAGTCATAAAACGTTCTAGTTTTTTTCATGTTGGCGGGGAATTCTTTTTTCCGACATTCGAAAAAAAATAATAGGAAATTTGCATTCAGTGTGATCTTTACAGTTGCATACATCAAATTAAGCAACATATTTTGATGGTTGAATTGAAATTGTAGGTAAAATTATTTCAATTCGGCTGCTTTTACTTTGCAAGTGGTAAGTGAGAAAGGCATGTTAATAAAATATTATAAAAATATTTTTTTTTCAAAATTTCATCTCAAGGTTGAAAAAAACTTTCAAAACTTTTGATGAGGTTTTTTCTTAAAAAAAATAAAAACTACTCCGTATGATTTATTGAGGCAACAATGGTGTCATTTTAAAGTCTTACTTTTTGAAATTTTGATATAACAGCAAAATTTGTTGAAATTTTCTCTCAGTCTCGAACGTTTCGGTTTTTGGATCAATTTGAAGCCTACTTGAATTTAGTCCCCACTTGAATTTGGCGTCGTGGGGTAGTTACACCACTGGAAAGATGTAAACTCTTTTTTTTTAGTTCTCCTACAAATAGGAAGTTTTTTCAAATAAAAGTATTGTTAAAATTGTCAGATTGTTACGATTGGATTTCATTTTGAACTTTGTAAAACCACTTGTTACACCATAAAACTAATGCTCGTAGGGGGATTAGAGGGATCAACCTTTTTATTTAACTTTTTATTTACTAGTTAACTAGTTTATTCAAATTTTATTTACCAATTATATAGAAAGCAGAAAACAAAACACCCTAATAAAAATGGTTGTTTCGATAGTCAAAAAGTAGTTATTTGGAGTTAAAAATTGGTGTTTTTATTTAACAGAAAACATTAGCTTTCGAATTATTGTGATCGGATTTTTCTGTGCTACTAGCGCAACAAAAGGTAATCATTTAGGACGGAGCGATAACAGCAAAAAAGCGGTCTCCGCAGTCGCGCCAACGTTTTGCGAGCTTGCCAACAAAGGGTAGGAATCTATATGAAAATTAGAGCCAGTTATTGTCGCTAAGCGGTGACGCTCGCATAGTGACCCCACCGCAGACCTTAAATTGAGGTAGTCGGCTCAGTTATTTCTGACCAATTAAATTTATTACTGAACTTAGGGTAGAGTGGCATAGGGTAGATTGGATTTTAATAGGGCAGATTTTCATGGAATCAAATTTTATTTTATTTTCTTCCAAGCTCTAATAAATTTATTGCTGTCTTTGTAACAACAAACTCTTCAAAAGAAACAAAAAGCAACTTGAAATTTAATTCAATTGTGCTTGTTTTATTCGTAATTTATACAATTTTTAATTACAAAATAGTTATTATCATCAAAACAGTTATTCTAAAAATAGGTTAGCTGGTTGTCGGGAAAGAAAAAGAGGCAAATTAGTGCAAACTAAAACTTCTATAAAATCGAGAACCTTTTTGAAATTCCTCGCAATGGTTTTCAATCAGCTGTAAATGTTAAGCAAACAGCAACAAGTTAAATATTTTAAAGGATGATGTCATTTTGAGTCGCAAATTCATAAGTTGGGAAAGTGAGAAAAGTCATCGAGAGTTGCATATCAATTGATACGAGTTATCAAAAATGAATCTTGGCTGGTTTGTTTTGGCTGATCAGTTTTGACTCGTTTGCTGCGCCCGGGAGTTGGTTTTGTTGTAGTGCATTGGCATCAAATATGAAAATTATTGTGATCACACTTCTTTGGGACAGGCTGGGATTGAACACGCGAACTTCAGGCCATCCTGAAAACAAACAAACAAACACGTTGATTGAGAAAGTTCAACCAGCCTGTGGTAAATTGGCGAATTAAGTCGCAATTTTTTTTTTTTTATATATTAAACCACTGCTTTTCGATGAAAAGACTGAAAATCATGTTTTCTTAGATTATTAATTTTTTACTATTGATTTGCAACATTCATGGCATTTTTTTTAGTTTTTTTTTTTGAAAAGATGCTCACATAAAAAATGGCGTGCATTAATTTTTTGTTGCACGAATTCAATTAAATACAAGAATGTTGTAATTGATTAAAAAGTAGTGGTTGATTTACTCACAGGAGGACTGAGGCTGGTGGGCTGTTGTTTGTCTTTGTTCTTGTGCAGCTGTAGCTTCCTCCTCAGTGCTTTGATGCACACTCCGAACTTCTTCAGACAGCTGTTGTCCTTGGGGCCACACTGGCCACAGTGAGCGATGTCTATGGCGTAAGAGCAGGCCAGACAGCTGGTGTGGTGACACTGGTTCTCACACCTCTCTGGCTCACTGTATACCCTATACATGCAATTACCAGACATTATCACACCTTATAATTTTTTGGTATTTCCAGAAATTGTCCGCGACTTAAAACCCTGTCCAGACTATGGATTAGTCGTTTTTTTTTGTGCACCATATTGACTATAGTGGTTTCTTCAACGATGACCTTATGAAAAAATATGTTCACAAAGTTATTTTAGGTCGACTAAATTGACTGATTTTCCGAGCTGCCACAATATACAATAAGAGCCTAGTTTATCCAGAAAAATGCGATGTGTAACATTCCAATTTTTGAGCAGTTGTGTCAAAACTACAAAACTACTACTTTTGGGCCCTTCTGAATGATTTTAATTGTTTTTGATTTTTTTGATGGTTTCAACAAGAGCAGAGGGCATGCTTAGAAAAATGTTTCAGAAAATCTCAAAGAAGCTTGTGGGGATCAAGTGTTAGTGTAGTATAATATTAACACCTAATTGGATGCGTTTCGGATTCGAAACAAAATCAGAAAACTTATCTCACTGCCGAGAAAAACGGTTCCAAAAATTTCACCATACAAATGATGCAAAATTGACGAGTAACATGCGTTTACAGACTGAGCTCAATAAAAATCTGACTAATATACACAAAAATTTTCCAAGTTTGTTTTCGATTTTTTTTTACAAAAAAACTTTCTGAACTAAATTCAAAAAACAAAAATTGTTGTATTGGTTTTCCTAAATCTTTGTGGTCGGAGTATGCTACCCTTGAACAGACTGACCATTCTCGAACATATCATTGAGCATTGAAAAAAACATTGAAATATTAATGAATATGATTACTCAAAAATTGAATTAACCCTGTTTTTGGGCGCGTTTCGATGTCACCAAAAGATTCAATATACATCAAAACTTACTATCAAAAAAAAATAAATTAAATTAGTAAACTATGCTATGGACTTAAGTGCAGCAAATTGTCGTTTTTGTTTCGTTTTGCTAATTTTAGCCACCTGATTTATGAATTAATTTTTATTTGAGACAGAATTGGTTAAACTCCACCTAACTTGGATACCGTGCCGCTCATCTTCTTCAAATTCAATAATTTTCCAATCAAATTCTGACCCATAGCCAAAAAACAACACATGGTAAATATTTGGTCATTTTACCGACTGAGAACAGTAATTTCTTCTTCATCCAAAAATCGAATTCAACCATTTAAAATGACAGCTAGAGTTATATTTGATTGCTTTGATGAATTAACCATCAAAAACCTTTCAAAGTGACTTCAAAATGAAGTGAAATCTTCTTCATGAGGTTCTGAAGTATTCGCAAAAAATGATTGAATAAATTTTCTGTGGATAAGTAAAAAAGGAAACGCAAAACTGAAGTTGTCCAAGTAAACGTTTAAGAAAAATTATGGAGCGTTACGTTTTGTTCTGACGTCTCAGGTAGAGTTTCTCGAGTTTTGTTTCAATCTTCTCGGCCAGATTTGCATTTGATCCAACCGCTGATAAACTCGTAACTTCCCAAATGGCATAATTCCCAAATGGCATAATATTGAAACTTTTTCCAAATGGCTTAAATTTCAAGTTTTCATTGTAAATCAAACGTTATCAATTTCTAATTCTAACATTTTGTCAGAAACGAAAACATGTGAAGAAGATTTGGAATTAATGGCTTTCAAACAAATGTTATGAGACAAATTTGTCGGAAAAATTGACCTCAAGAAGCTTATCAACAACCGCAATCTGATGTTTTTTGCTTCTGATGAAAAATTCTACATTTTTTTTCAAAATAAAATGTCAATCAATACTTGAACTCGCAACTTGACTAATTTTCTTGTTTTCAAAAAAGTTGTTCTCGATTTTTCTAATGCTACTGTTGCATGAAATTTACGCCATTTGGGAAACTTTTCATTTTTATGCAATTTGGGAATTATGGCATTTGAGACGTAATCGATAAATTTTGGGTAAGTTTCGGTCAAAAGTGGCGCTCTTAAAATACAAAAGCGCTCATTAACTTTGTTCTACTCAGCTTAGATATGTTTCGTCCGGCACGACCAAAATTGGGCATATCTCGGCTGTCTCGACTGAGGAAAAAATAACATCGAACTTTCTCTTTGAACTTTCAATTCGGGCGGGTTTTTTTGCTTAGTATCAAGTATCAAGTAAATTTTATCAGGTCTCAAAAACTCAAAATAATGTTTTGTGGTCAATCTTTTTGAAAAACTTGCTGCCGACATTTTTTTTGCCAGAATAAACATCAAAAAAACTGTAGCATCTACTTTCAAAGCAACTGATTAATTTTTATTGCTTCTAAGTAAATATTTAAAAAAAGCTTTGCGAAAAAATCAAAGCACCTGTTGGTAGCTGAGCACACTGCCCGTTTGTCTCTTCCGCACAGTTCCGGTGTGCACTGAGCCTTGCAGCTGGGATCTCCGCTGGGGTTGTTGGGGCCATCGTTGAGCCACGGGTACTCGTCCCATGGATACAATTGTTTGTTCGGCTTAGGCTTCACGTATGGTTTGTCTGGTTTTGGCTCCTTCGGGTTTCCTGCAAATTAAGATTTTTTACTGAGCATTTTTGAAAACCAGCATGAAACTGGCAGGCAGTTTTTTTTACATTTTTTTTACATGAGATGCTCAATATTTGATACACTGTTAAAGATTAACAATAAAAAAAAAACAAGGATAGCCGGTTGCTGTGAAAGTATGGATTCTTGTTCAGAATGTTGATCAAATAGCAGAATGTTCCGACCACATTCTCAGAAAAAAGTTCTTTTTTCTTCAAGTTAATGTCTTTTTTTGTACGTTGTGTAATGATTCAACTATACGAACGCGTACAAATTTAGTGCATTAAAAATTCTAAATATTTTTTTTTTGCTAGAGAAGAGCTGAATGAAGCTTTCAGTAAAATCAAGTTTTTTAGCCGAAATTGCTAATTTTCATATACAACAAACGTTACTCGGTAGCTTAATTCGTTCAAATTTAGACGAAAAATCAAAAATTTCAAACAGTTTGACCAAAAAAACTTCGTTTTTTCGGAGCGCGCTCTCATTTCAAAATTATTTTATTTGGCGCCAAAAAAGTTCCTTTAAAAAATTTAGGGGCTCGGTCAGCCAAAAAATGATATCTCAAAACTGTACCAGGTTCCAAAAAAATGATATCTCTCAAAACTGTACCAGGTCCCAAAAAAATGATATCTCAAAACTGCACCAGGTCCCAAAAAATGATTTCTCAAAACTTAGAGGGGGAGCGTTCCCCCTATATCCGCTACTGATCATTATGCATTATCTACATGGTGCTATCTACGTTGACCTTGAAACTTGTATTTGATATACAGACATGAAGTGACGGCTTCAAATGTTACTGACCTGCTGCTTTCTCTGGGTTGAAATTGACCCCAGGTGGTATGACCCACACACCCCTCGGCACATAGTGTTCCTTGTCAGGCAGCCCCTCCACTTCGTAACATGTTCCAGCACTCTGCTGCGTCTCCTGGCCGACTGAATTGTAAGCATAACGACAGTAGGTGCCGATACCACACGTCCCGTACACATTCTGCGAACCTGAAAGCAATAAGTGTTGTTTTTAAAACATAATTATAGGCTGGTAGCAACGAAATAGACCATATATATACAATGGTGTTCTTTAAATACTTGGGAAGTCTGAGTTATACCCATTTCAGTCCCCACTGAAATCACAACGGCCAAAAATTAACAAACAGTGGACACAACAATTTGAGGACAAAAAAAGAATTAATTCAAGGTCAAGTTTATATTTTGCTCCCTTCTTTTGTTAAATACAGTTTTTTATGAGGGGGATTTTATAAGATCAGTTTGGCACTTCTTTGTTCCACTTTGAGATTACTTTTTTTTTGGCTTACTGGTCTTTTAATTTTTCTAAATGCGCTTTTAAAATTTTTCTGAAGTGAGGCGCCAATATATATACTAATTTTAGGGGGGGAGCGCGCGCCGAAAAAACGTAATTTTTTGGTCAAAATTTTCGAAAAAAAAAGACTAAAAACTTCTAAAAATGCCTAAAAGTGCCTAAACACGCATTCAAAATTTTGTCTTCGCCTCCATTCGAGAAATTCTAGATCCACACCTGGCCCACATAATGATAAAACCACCGTTAGGGCTATATTTTTTTTACTGGGTTGGGGGCTATATATTCAGTATATTCAGTAAAAGAGCAATAGTTTACCTCCGCATAATTCTCCTGGGAAGCGAGCGCACTGGAAACAGCAGTCGCAGGCGTCCTTTATGAACCCATGCTTACAGTCCATCTTACGCCAATCCCCACACACTGTGGACTCACACGGCAGACACTGCACTCTCCCCCCTCCCCCTCCCAACTGCCTTTCACTGCTTGAGTCCTCCTTCTGGAGGGACCCTTTGGGCACAATGTACCCCGACACTTCTCTGATCTGGACTGCAACCAGTATCGTCGCGAGCAGGGGTAAAAACTGGAACACTGTGGAGTGGATAATATTATTGCCATTTGGGCTAAAAACTCGGTCGCAAAAAGCCATTTTGTAGGCCTTCTTCTTCAGTCAAAAAGTTCTTGAGCCTTTTTTAAGTAACAGCTTCAGATATTTTGCAAGGTCTTGTCGGTAAACTGACAAATATATGAAAGTGGGGTCAATAAAATTCAATTGCCAAGTAAAATCACAGACTGAAATAATGACTGCCACTGAGCACGTACAACTGGTATTTTTTAGTATTTATAAGTATGAGTTATGAAAATATATTGAGTTTTTTTGATGTGATGTTCTGTGCCCACGGAACCATCAGACAATAAACTGCTAAGTTGTTCAAACCAGGTGTTATAATTTTTCAGTTTATAATTTATATCTTTACAACTATGCCACTTCGTTTTTCACACCATGGGGCCAACAAATTATATTGCTAAGTTATGTAAAATTTATTGTAAAATGAACACAGCTTTGGCAAAAAGAATACTTTCAACAATTATAACAAGTTTTGAAGTGGTCAATTAGCTCATCATCAATGCTAATTCATAACTAAAGAACTATTCTGCTTTTTAGTAGTGATCAATAAAAATGGACCAACTGGCAAAATTGTTCACCTCTTTTGGTATGTTTTTGTTTTTCACCGACTGAAAACTGGTAATAATTCTGGTATTATAACTCACAGACTGGTTATTGTCTTGTAGTTGTCTTATTGATAGCTACTTTTATGAATTGTATTTTTAAATTTGGCTGTTACCAATTTTATCAATGGCACCAACACATATTCTCTCTTGACGCATCTTTTTGTCACTCTCGAGTCGAAAATGTAATTTAAAGAGACGCGAGTCCTTTTGTTGCCGATTCGGTAATTGTTCGGGTCTCCTTCACGTCAACGGTACGATAGCAAATTTAATTAAACTTAATCTATTTTAAACAATTCGTACTAAAAAACTGATAAATAAAGAAAATAAAACAATAAATTTTAAATCCGGCAATTGTTTTTTTTTTTAAATATTGGCGGCCTTTAAATTGGACCAATTAGTCGACAAATTCCTTTTCTCCAAAAATTGATCGAATCTTAGCGAAAGATTTAAGCTCGAGGATTTTTCATCCTACAAAGGCGAAATAATGGAATGGCTTAAAAATTTTCAGCTACAGGAATCGATTTTGTAGGTGGTTCAAAATATCGATTTTTTGGACTTTCGTCAATTTAAACTAAAAAATGGCCATCAGTAATTCGTCATCTGCTTATGATTTATTCATTCTAACTGCAAAATGGTAAAAACACACCAAAACGGCTGGCTTTTTATTAAAGTACAAATTTAGCCAATCTTGGTACAAACAAAGCTATTAAATTAAGCAGATGAGAAAAATATTAAATATCATTTTTGTGTCAACCAAGAGAGAATTTTGCTCAATTATGACAAAAAACATGTGAATTTTGTTGATTGTCATAAAAGAATTTCATAGCTCATAAAGTCTTGTTAAGATGATTTTTATTAACAAAAGAAAGAGTTCAAGAATTTAAATCAATCAACTGCAGTCTTGCGGTTTAAAAAAAAATTGGACGAGAAAATCCGACGAAGCGATAAGAGATTCTTTTTCAACAGTTCGACTATCATCCAAATCATATCGAGTCTGGAATCAACAGCTGAAAAAAACATACATGAAGGACTCTTCACCTCAAATAATCCGATGGTGAACATTTTAATTTTATGCATTTAAAAATCAAAACCACGAATTCAAAGGCAAGCAAACTCAATTTACTTCATGTGCTTAAAATATTTGGGTTGGAAAGAGGGGGGGGGGGGTATGGGGGTTGAATTATTTTCCTTCAGCTCTGTCAAATTTTTCTAAAGATCCCTTCTAAAGGCGCTTTGGGCGCCAACCTTTCTAAAGGCGCCTTGGGGAGAGCGTTTGAGGGGAGAGCGGGCGCCGAAAAACGCAAATTTTTGGTCAAATTTTTTTTAAAGTTCTTAAAACGTCGTTTTGAGCCTTTTTTTTAAAATTTGACTGCGGCGCAATTTTTTTTGGCAGAACGGTTTCATATATCATTATCAGAGAGCTCGGAAAAGCAAAAAAAGGTCGACCTACAAAACGGTCTACAAAATTTTCAACTCTTCCTTTTGAAAACATCCCTCCCCCAGAAAAATTTCTACGCACTCCATTGAAGAAATGCCTTAGCTTATAGTCAATTTATACGATTAAAAAAACTTATAAAACTCATTTAAAAGTCGCTAAAAGCTTTGCTTTCGGTTTTTCATGAAAATTGCTCTAAGAATATAACTGCTCAACGTCGTATGAAAATTCGTTAGATTATCAGAAAAAAAATAAGACCGTGTTTTTGACCAGTTTCAAATAATCTAGTTAAATTTTATACGATATTGAAGAGTTGGCAAATCAGAGCACTTTTTTTATAACCTTATGTGTTCCGTTTCCACAGACAACTTCTTTTGATGCAATGACAATTTTTCTTGACGCCAAATTTCCGACCAGTATCGAGACAAGTGTTTCTAATGTTTTTGTGGAATCCAAATCACAACCAACAAGACCTTAATATTTTTTTGATTTACCCTCCCCATGTTTTCTTTGGTTACGTAGAATCGGACAAGAAGTCATGAGTCCTTTTTAGTTCCAGCCTCTTCCAACATTAAAACTGCTCGTATCTGAGCAAAACCCTGAGAGGTTCGGTTCGACTGCCCTTTAATGGACTCGAATAAATTTTTATTAATTGAAGTATTGACAAACTATGAACTGTAGGCTGATAAAATCAAATTTCAAGTGTTAAAACCTAAATCTTACACATATGGAGAAAATTAAACGCCAAATTCAATTTTTTACTCTCCAAAATGCAAAACTTAGAAGAACATTTTAAACAAAATTTATTCAGATTTTACCAAAATTGTTGATCGACCAGCTGCAAAAGATCTAAACGATCCTTTATAAAAGTCTCAAATATTGGTTTGAAGCACACACCAGTTTTTTCCGGGAGCGATTTTGTATTGCGCAAAAAAATTAAAAGCATAAATAAATCGCGTTACAGCAATCCAACATCAACGCATTAAGCGAGATTTTTTATTCGGATTCTTTTCAGAGGGTTAGGTTAAAATAGTGATGTGCGTGCTACTCGGGATGACGAAGTGTCAAGGATCGATGCCCCAAGGGTGCAAATGTTAATTTGAAAAAAGGTCTACAAAATAAAAACCACACTAAGCATGTAGATTTCTGACTTTCTTCGAAAATTGGAACAACAAGACAGCTCAAATAATAGCAACGTTAGCAATGTTTCGACTGCCTCTCAACATATATGGGACAAACTTTGATTTGAACAAAAATTGATGAAACTTTCAAAAAAACTTTTTAATTTTTTTTAAACTTTGTTTTGAAAATCATCCTTGGCACGCTATTTAAAGCACAATTTTCAAGGGTCTTGGACAACAGGCCAAAAGGAATTCAAGCCGAAATTAAAACTTTACAAGCACCTCAAAACACTATTTAATCATCTGCTAAACGTTGCTTTTCAAAAATTTAAGCATGCTTAGTCCATAATAAGCGTTATTCATGACAATGCATCACTTCTGATTGGCATCCTTTAAAAACATCAGCCGGTTTTTCAATTGTATTAATTATAAACATGAAAATTGCCTTCAACCATGTTCTATTTTTCAAATTTCCGAAACATGATTTGGAGGTTTAAATTTTACGAAAACGCCAATAACTAGTGGAGACAGATCATGAAGTTCAGAAATTCTTCAAAAAAGTTTTCAAATTAGTCATATTTCACGACTTTATGAGGAACTATTCGGCTTAAAGTCTCTAATTTTACAATCCAGCTTAAAGTCTAGTCGGCTTGATGTCCAGCACCCAATTCTCAGTGATATGTTTAACATGCAGAGGCGTTTTAATTAGAACAACAAAAATTCCTCTGTTCACTTCTCGCTATTTAAAGCAGAATTCTCAGTACACTAAAGCACTCTTTAAAACACAATTCTCAGTGATATGTTTAACATGCAGAGGCGTTTTTATTAGAACAACAAATATTCTTCTGTTCAATTCTCGCTATTTAAAGCACAATTCTCAGTACGCTAAAGCACGCTATTTAAATAACAATTCTCAGTGATATGTTTAGTATGCAGAGGCATTTTCATTAGAACAACAAATATTCCTCTATTCAAACCTCGCTCGAATTGAAAAAAAGCTCACTCTTTATTAGTACAAAATATATGGAACATTAAATATCCCAACTTGACTTTTTATAAAACCTCATAACTAACGTGAGCTCAATAGATGATTTTAAAAGTGGCCCAAAAATGGCTAGTTAAAAAGTCGAGAAATGTCAAGGGAGAAAAAATAGCCCGCGCAAAAATATTTCGTCACTTTCATCGACAGACGTAACAATTAAGTTCCATCTCAGGACTTTGCCTGTTCTTAGCATTAAAAAAATCCGTCAAAACGTTTATTTTTAAGTTCAAAAAGATCAGGTGACAAAAAGCATTTATCAGGGAACCTTTTATTTACTTGCTTTGAAGGCCGAATTTAAAAAATGCTAAAGCTGCCTGCTACGTTGGATTCAATCAAATTCCAGTTTTCAAGAAAAACAATACTGCTCGTATCAGGGCAAAGCCCTGAATGTTCCGACTGCCTTTTGAGGTTTATAGAGCAGTAATGTCATAAAAAAATTAAATGTAATTAATTAAAATGATTTTTTTCTCTAAAATTTGAAATTTCGTATAAAAATGATCCTCCCACACGCCATATAAAGTACAAAAGAATAGATGTTGCTCCTTGTAACAAATCAATTATAGCAAATAAGCTTCTTTCAACCAATTTGCAACGATTTTTAAGACGGATTAAATATCCACTTACGCATTAGTAGCGCGAAATATATCGCGCGTTAATTGTCCCAATGGCAATTTTGAAACCCCCATAACTCTACGAAAAATGATCACATGTGAAATATCTTTTCAAATTTAAGCTCAGGACAACAATACCTGTTGAATGATAATTAAAAAATTCTGCCAAAAATGGCTAGTTAAAAAGTCAAAATTTGTCTGAAGAAAAAAAGCCCACCCCGAGCACAAATATTCCGTTACTTTAGTATCGAAGCTCGGAACAAAAAGCGAACCATTAACAGCAATAAAAACGCAACAGCAAAAGTTCGATGAGCCAAAAGATTTTTCAAGGTGCATTTTTTGATCTCTGCAAAACTTAATTGCTTGCTATGGTGGATAGCATTA